CTTGTTTTATAAACTTATGCTTTGTACTGGTCTATGACTGTAATAAAGATTGATTGATTGAGTTGGTTTCATGCCTAGGGCAAGACTAGAACTCGTGGTCCCTTGCTTTTTCTAGCCTGGTGTCTTTTAACCATTATACCAAACTGGCTTTCACAGACTAATTTGGAAGCTGAAAAACATTCTGAAAAAAGGCAATGGCAAACCACTTTGATACTGATGGAAAAAAGCTACATTGATGAATGTATGAAATCAGCAGGAGTCAAGCTCAATCAAAAGAATAATTTGCTACTACTACTACTACAGCCAGAAATAGATACTTCACATAGTAAAGGAAATGTAATTGTTAAGTATCTTACACACTCTGATATTTAGATTGGAAGACAGTTTAAAAAAAATGTAATCTCAACAAAAGTAACCAACATGCTCACCTCCCATATAGGTAGTCCTCGACTTATGACCACAATTGGGACCAGAACTTCTCTGCTAAGTGATGTGGTCAATAAGTGAGTCACACCTGATTTTACAACCTTTTTAAAGCAAATCACCAAGGTCGTTAAGCGAATCACACAGTCATTAAGTGAATCTGTCTTCCCCCATTGACTTTGCTTGTCAGAAGCCCTCTGGGAAGGTTACAAATGGCAGTCACATGCCCCAAAGATGCTGCAACCATCATAAATACATGCAGGTTGCCAAATGCCCAAATTTTGATCACGGGAATGCTACAATGGTTGTAAGTGCAAGGACCAGTCATAGGTCACTTTTTTCTTTTTTTTAATATGAACTTTATTAAGTTATAAAAAGCATAAAGGTAAAAGCAAACAAGAACTAATAATTAAGGAGAAAAGTAGAGAACAAGAGAGTTAGAGACAGAGAAAGAGTACAAAAGTGATAGAAAGTAAAGGGGAAAAAATTACAAAAAGAATAATTTCCAACTTCTCATATAGCAGCTGTAGATAAATCATATAATAACCTCTTATTCTAAAGCTACTTCTTAACATGTACATTTTGTATAACCTATTATTTTAACTAATGATCAAATCCATATATCATAATTTCATTTTTTTTTCTGTCTCCTGCAAAAAGTCCAAAAGGGGCTTCCAATTGGTATTAAAGTTAGTCAATGTTTTTTCTCTAAACAAAGCTGTTGATTTTGCCATCTCAGCTGACTCCATCAGCTTCACCATCCATTCTTCCATTGTAGGTAATGTTGATTCTTTCCACCTTTGACCATATAAAAGTCTAGCTGCAGTTATCATGTATGAAAGTACTAAGTAGATTAGCAGAGATTGGTTTATCTTCTCTTTATTTTCCTTTTCCATTGGCTACTCCATAAAAGTTCTTCTAGCATCCAAACGGGTCCCGCATGTTGCCATTAATCCCCAAAAAAGTATAGAGAGACTAAAAAGAGAGAACACTGAAAAGAGAGAACTGCCAGCAGGTGTCTCTACTATAGCTAAAGTCCACTTTAAAAAAAGCTTAAAAAGGGAAATTACAGGCAATTGCTAGCAGGTATCTCTGTTAAGGAAAAACTAAGCTAAAAAATAAACCAGACTCATTGTCATTCCTCTCTGAAATATAACTGCAACCAACTGCCTGATTGTTTACATTAAACAACAAAACTTTCTCATGGAAAAATGGATCCCTGCTAAAGTAGCTGTGATTTGAACAAAGCTGATTCTTGAAAAAATAAACTAGAAAAAAAATTTTTTTAAATTAAAATCTCCCCTTTTCCCCGTTAACTTTCTTATGCCACTAATATCAGCTTTTTCCATATAATCCAAAAAATATTATTTTAACTCTACAAATCTTTCTTAATTTCCAAAGTCCATTCCCAAAAATGAAAAATGCCAAGAGGATACTTATCTGCTATAAGAAGCAGCCTCTTTTAAAGTGAAGAATAATTTGTAATTCAAAGGTGCATTAGAAATGGAGGACGGTCAGTTTCAGTGTCCTTTAAACTGGCTGCGCCTCAGCTTCGAACTAAGATGTAATCCTTACCTCCCAGCCGCTCCACTTGTGGGTTTCTCACAAAAACCTCCATTCTTGTAATTTACTCACGAGGAGCAGCCATCCAGAGAACATGTAGGTTAATTTCAACCTTCCTCCTACACAGACAATTCCATACAGTTTTCTTGGATTTTTTTTTTTTTTGGAAGTGGTTTGCCACTATCTCCTTCCTAAGGCAAAATATAGTTGGTTTCATGCCTAGGGCAGGACTAGAACTTGTGGTCCCTTAATTTTTCTAGCCTGATGTCTTTTAACCATTACACCAAACTGGCCTTCATAGACTAATGTGGAAGTTGAAAAACATTCTGAAAAAAGGCAACGGCAAACCAGTTTGATACCAATAGCATAAAGCTACACTGATGAATCTATGAAATCAACAGGAGTCAAGCCCAACCAAAAGAATAATTTCCTACTGCTACTACTAAAGCCAGAAATAGATATTTCATATAGTAAAGGAAATATAATTGTTAAGTATCTTATGCACTGTAATAACTAGTTTGGAAGAAAGTGTTTTAAAAACTGTAATCTTAAGAAAGGTAACCAACATGCTCATCGCCCATATTATTAGCTTCATCTAAAGGAATTTAAAGCGTCCCACGATCCCGCTGGGCGCTAAAAAAGGCTGAGGAGCTATCTCTGCAACTCAAAGACAATCAAACCACCATGCCAGCCACCGGAAGTCACTCATAAGTCATTTTTTCCCAGTGCTGTTGTAACTTCAAACAGTTGCTAAATGAATGGTCGTAAGTCAAGGATTACCTGTATTACTAGCCATACTGCCTTACCATTTGAAAATGATGTGGGCAGAGGCATTTTAATAATTTATACACTATTGGTTTAATGCTGTTATATACATCCAAACACAAATCTCTTTGCAGTTCATAATTGAATATACAATAATTAAAAATAAAATACTAATCTGATATTTAAAACAATGAAATGAGTTAAGCATAAATCCCAAGGGTGTAAAAACCTGTCACCACTTTTCTCAGACCCTAAAATCCACTGATTGTATCAATTAATTTTTGTGGCACAGCTTAATATCATTTTGAGGCAGGAACCACCTAATATATATAGTGAAGATCCTAAAATAGGTTTACCATCGTTTAAAAGCAGAAGAAAAAAACTAATCCCTCAAAAGTCCAAGAAGACTTTACTCAATACCATATTACATCCCATGTCCCAATCTGTTTTACATCACTAAATGCCCATAGCAAGCAGCCTTTGATCCTTCCAAAAACGTTAATGGCAACTTCTGGCCATCAAAAGACTATCGACTTAGCAGAAAGGAGACTTTCCAATTCTACCTTTGAAGAAGCCCTGTTTCTAGTTAATTACTGCATCATATTCACTAGAGAAAGTAAAGCTACGGGTAAGTTGGCCCTGGGATGTTTAGGGCGTTAAAGACTGTATCTATGCTAAATGAAGGTGTGCCAGTAATGACATAGCTCATGTTCAAACCAAGTAACTACTTCTCATGTCCCAGCCTAACCTATTTCACAGGACTAAGAGGACAACCAAACTATATAAATGGCCATTTGCAAAAGTCAAGGTAAACTTTGTAGTAGTATATCATTACCAATATTTGCACTCAGAAACTGGGAAGTTTTCATCGAGATCCCTCATAAAACAACAGTCTGTGAAGCTCCTTTTCAATAAATAGTAGTGAAACTTTTCATTACCTCAACATTTGCTAGGAGAAACATTCTGCCAAGCATAGTTCTTCAAGGAATTCTCTGACTTTTCTTGATGACAATTTTCTCCTTCAGAAAAAGGCACAAGAAGATTAGGAGAAAGTGAGTATGTTACACTGGAATTCTCAATATAAATAAAAACTAAAACAGTCTGTGACTGAATGCTTATCTTGGAGTTTAAGAAAGTCTGTTAAGGAATTCAGTAATTCAGTTTAAGGAACTCTGTTAAGTAATAAGTGGGATTCCAAGACAGGAGAAGCTAATGGGAAAAGGAACTCAAAATGGGTGGAAGATCCTAAAATGAGAGACAGTAAAAGAACAACTGAAAACAATTCCAACAAGAAAAAGAAACAGACAAGTAAAACAAAAACACAAACACAAACTGACATATCTGTACAAAAAATTAAGATCTAAAAACAAAAAGCGAGGTGGTAGAAAAAGAACAGGTCACAAAGGAAGAGGACACAGATGTAACCTGGAACTCTAGAGATGGGGTCAGAATGCTCCAAGGACTTCTTTAAATATGTTGAAAAGAAAGATAAGAAACGTTATACCAGCTGTTCTACAGTGATTGCAAAACACTAATACATAACAAAAGGCAGATCTACTCAGTTTTGCCTTGAGCTTCTCCAACAAAACCAGCAACAACATATACTAAGTTTTTTGTAACACTATTTCTGTTCTGGTCCTCAACCACTATATTCTGGACATAGTTCAATATGTTTAAAAAATAATAGAATTTGTATATTAACAAGAAAAGTAATATTGGAAAACTAGGGGATGCTGGTTTCCTACAAGGATGCACGGATTTAGATTCCAGCAGTAAATAATGGGTTGGATTCATTGGTCTAAATGGCCCCTTCTAAATCCACATTTCTTGGTCCGTCAAAGAATACAGAGCTGGTACAGAAGGGAAAGATCCAGTAACTTCTGAACAACAACAACAAAATCCATAGAGAAGCCAAGAAAGGATACATGGAGTGGCATAGATCAACAGGAATATACTCCTCTGTGAACAAATGTGGGCTGAAGACACTCCTCTGTGAAAAGATGTGGGTGAAATCCAATTCCTTAGCTAAAACCTAAAGAATGATTTCACAAAGAAAAAAAATCAGGGAAGACATCACAGGGAAAGTGTCATAATAATGCAAAAAAGTAATTACCCTCAGAGTTATCAGAAAAGAAGAAATGTTGGTCACTATAAAGATACAGTACTTGTGGTTTGATGCAAAATGTTGGTCACTACAAATATACAAGTGGTTTCAATACCTTTGGAGGCAATTGCCCAGAAGTGATAAGATTTATTATAATAAAGATACTGAAAAGGAGGATCAATCTAAAATCACCTATAATTTAAAACCAAAATAAAAAAAATTCAGCTAGAATATACATTATACATTAGGAACAAATCCAGCAAAATTTCAGAACAATTACTAAGTCTATAAGTGGCACCACAATGTGGCAAGAAGGAATTTTTGCTGGCCGAGAAACTGAATTAAATTCTTTATAGAAAACTTTGGGAAAGAAAGTTTATACAGAGAATTATCAAAGAAAAAGCCAAATAGAATAGATTCTAGGGCTTAAACCTAAAAGAAAATTAATGCCAGCCCTGGGTGGCATCTACTTAAAAATACAAACATGTAATTGCTGGTCCTGTGAAAGCAAATATAATTGTCATCAACATTAGCTGTGTTACTGGAAAAACACTTGAAAGTACTCAACAAGTGACTTGCTTTAGAAGAAAAGCAAGGTAGGACAAGATCTTTTAAATTAACTTTTTTCTCAGATAAATTTATAGTCACAATGAAACCCAAAATTTATCAGCTTTGGATAATGAAGTTTTCTTTTTGTTATAATGTTAATGCATTATATCAAATCAGAATCTAAAATCAAATCTATATAGGAAATATATAATTTTCTATAATTAAGATGTGAACATTCTTTCACAATTGACTGGTATCAATTGCGAACTATATCCCATCTCAAATCAAAAGCAAATCTAAATGTTTTGCCTTCTGCCAGATTACAGCAAAGTCCGTGAATATTCTGTTTAAAAAAAAAATCATACTTACTAATTGATTTCACATACAAGGTGGCTTGTTAATGTTTTTAATTTAAATGCTAAAAATGTATTGGAAAATTAATATCCTGATCTTTGCCCCAGTGTATAGACAATTATACTTTAGCTGTGCAAAACCCAACTAACTATAGAAAGCAGAATTTGATCCTTTTAAAGTGTTTGTCACTCTACCAAAATGAGTACAATTTGGGCTATTCTCTCTCTCGCCAAAGAGCCCTAATGCGCTAAATAATCCAATACAAGCTCCTGAAATGCAGGACTCAGAGGACTGTAAAATGTTTTCCTCATCAAATTCCAAAGTGCAGTCACTTTGTTCTCTCTGAAACGGCACAAAACATTCTGTATTTCAGAAGATTTATGCTGATTCTCTTTTTTTTTAGGAAGTTCTTCATTTCTACACACAATCTTCCTATATAGGATAAAACTAAAAAGTAATTAATCCCTGTTTAGATATTTTGTTATGTTCCTCCCACCCATAATCCCTTTCTCCATGAGCCATGCAGATGAGTACAGTAGCTATTTTTTTTCAATGTCTGTTGTTTTCTTCTTTTTTCTAACCATTATTAATTCTGTGCTTGTAATTTCTACTCAAGCGGATGAGCTTCTATAGATTCTCATCAAGAAGATTTAAAAGCTACAATAGACTATTTCACATTCACCCTATATTGTTTACTAATTTTTTTCTACCAGTGTTGATAAGACCTTGCTTTTCGAAAGTTCACAGACTTTGAGGAAACATTAATGATTTCAGAGTTTGGAAACAAATGTATTTTTTCTATATTCATGATTGCCTGAGCCTTCAATATGCAAATAAGCAGTCATTATTATGCCAATAAAGCATACAGCATTCAGTACACAAAGGCCACTAACACACAACTGCTATCTGTATATTATAGATAAGAAATTTAAAAGATACAATTACTTACTTACTTACCAGATAAGTAAGAAATCTGTATGATTTAGATCAGTTTACATTTTCTTTATCCAATGCATACAAGCAAACAAGAATGATTAATTTAAGCTGGGTTCACAAATCTCTAAACTCCACTTTTGTATTAAGTCATAACTGGCTAGGTTCACAAAGTGTGCTAAACTATAAACATAGGGATACCAAGCTAAAACACCATAGACTCTTTGTAGATAACAGTCCATGCTATTATTCAAGATTTGCAGGAGCAGAATTAAATGCAATCATATTTGTTTTGAATATCTCTACTTTCTGGTCATTACTCTGATTTTCATAAAACTATACGCCATACACTTCAGTGGGCAAGAACATCAGGATATTTTCTAAACTGTTAATTATTGTTCTTGTTGTCCTCCAAGTTGACCAATTAATGCAAATAATTGTATTTTTCAACAGAAAGACAAGAAAATAACCTACTGGTGGTTTACAGTCTATCTCCCTGCTCTACAATCTATACATGCTATGGACACATTGCAAACATTCAGATGGAAGCGAGGTGATCAAAAATTCTCAAGCTTAGGCAGGGAAGGGAAGCACAACTGAATTTTAGAAAATGAACTTCTTGGATATAACATCTCAGAAGGGCCAACTTTTAAGAAGTGTGTTTGAAAATGTTTAGATATTTGAATGTTAAAGTGAATGTGGCATGTTTCTGGGACAAAAAAAGTTTTGCCAGCATCATCAAGGCAACCCTTAAATTTTGGGTCAGAGAGATATACGGATGGTAGGTAAAATCCCATGTGGCAGCCACACTCTACTCACATGGTATAATTATAGCCTGAAAACTTTAAAACTGGGATGTACAACTTCTTTTGACCTGACTTACACCTGGTCTTTAGTGGTATGCTAGAGGGGAACTCTGCAAAGTAAGCAGAGCCAAGAAAAATACTAATAATTAAATCTAATTAAACATTTACATTATCTTAAATGACAGTTCCCTTCAAACTACCCAAAGGATGCCTCTATACATGGCCATCACCAAATGGAGCATATAGAAATCAAATTGGCTATATTATTGCTTTTTTTTTTTTATCCGCACTCAATCATTACAGATTCTGTGGCGACTGCCTGGACGAGTCCCTGCAGTTTCTAAGGCAAGGTGTTTCGGAAGTGGTTTGCCCTTTCCTCCTTTCTTGGGCCGAGCCCAGCTGGCGAGCGCAGGAGGCGGGGTTTTCCACTGCTTCGTGCCTTTTTCGGGTGTGCGCGGCTTCCGCGTTTCCCGGCAACTTGGTCCCGTCTCCCTTGCAAGC